AGAGGCTCTGCTTCTCAGTGTCCCAGTAATCGCTGCAAGCCCCACGAAGAGAAAGCTGACCTAGGGTTCTGAGCGATGCCAGACAGTCCCGCTTCTCCCGTATGAGTCTGAGTCCTTAGAGACTCGCCCAGAACTGGAGCTCAGAGCCTGAGACTCCCTCCCGATTGAAAACGACAACCTCGCCCTCAGCCTCCAGCCCGCTCCGAATGCACTCCGCACCTTAGTATTTTACTTCAGCACTGCGCCTCCTCTGAGCCTCGGTATGCTTTTCTCTTTCCTCCTAGTTGTAGAACTTCCACTCAGCCAGCCTTCCTGTGGTTCTGGATGATGTCCGTTCCGTCTTTTAGTTGTATTTTTGAAGTGGTTGTTCGAGGCAGCAAACTCCCGTGTTTACCTATGCCGCCATCTTGGTCCTTCAACAATAAAGATAAATTTAAAAAAAAAAGAATCCTAGGAACTAACTTTAGAAGATGCAGACTCTGACCATCAGTCATCCCAGTTCTGGGAAATTTGCTAACCTTGATCCATAAAACTAGGTGACAAAGGCCAGGATGATGCATACAAGACCATCACTTGACCAGTTTTTGAGATCTTATTATAATGGACTGTGCTGGCCTGCACATAGGAAACTTTTCAACTGCCTCCCCTTGACCTCTTTGTTCTTCTTTCCCTCTCCCTCCTTATAAAAACTGTCTGCTCTGAGATGTAGAGATAGGCTTTGTGACAGGAGTCCCTCATCTTCTCAGGTGTCTGGCACTTGAATAAACCCCTTTCCTTTTTCACCAACATCTGTCTAAGGCAGTGGTTCTCAACCTTCCTAATGCCGCGACCCTTTAATACAGTTCCTCATGTTGTGGTGCCCCCCAACCATAAAATTATTTTCGTTGCTACTTCATAACTGTAATTTTGCTACTGTTATGAATCGTAATGTAAATATCTGATATGCAGGATGTATTTTCACTGTTACAAATTGAACATAATTAAAGCACAGTGATTAATCACAAAAACAATATGTAATTATATATGTGTTTTCCGATGGTCTTAGGCGACCCCTGTGAAAGGGTCGTTCGACCCCCAAAGGGGTCGTGACCCACAGGTTGAGAACTGCTGGTCTAATGAGTTTGGCTTTCATGGTGACAGGTACTGAACCTTAGTTCTGGTTACAAGAATGGATTGGAGAAAGAGATTAGGAAATAACTGGGCAACTAAGTATTTCTTTTGAACTTCAATTCAAACCTCAGTAAATTAGAAGTGAAAGAAAGCTAAAGTGAAATAAATTCCTTCATTAATGAAAGGAAATGCTAAGGCATTTGTTTTATCTTTGCAAAATCTTCAAACTATAATGAGTAGCAGAAAAAAATTAGAGCTATTAATGACCTGTTATTTTTCATTTGCTTCCTTCCCCTCTTCAGGGGCATTTAAAGACAGGACATTGAAGAATATGGTGGTTAGCTTTTTCAGTGTGAGTGATATTTGAGGCTCTCTGGCCTCTTTTCCTCCATCTCTGCAATAGTTCTGAAGACAAATAAAGGAGTGAAAGAAGGGGAAAGGATAACAATTATATCCAAAGCTAATACCTAAAGGCAAAATTGTCAATGTTTAAGTTGAATTTTGCATTCTGTGATTACAATGATTGTTACCTAGGAGCAAATATTTACACCTAAATTTAAAGGATGAAGAATAGTTTGGAAGGAGGAAAATTGGAGGATGGCTCTGCAGACAGAGGGCTTAGCATAAAAGAGCAGAATGTGTTTAGGAAATTTTAAGCATTTAGTATTGCTAACCTGAAAACTTCACAATGGGAAATGTCTGGGTCAGGTAACCGCAATTCTTGAATTCTTCTAAAGAGCTTTAGATTTTATCCTCTGGATAATGGGAGCTCTATTAAAATCTTCTGCCCAGCTGAGGTGGCTCAGTGGTTGAGTGTCGACCTATGAACCAGGAGGGCATGGTTGGATTCCTGGGTTGTGAGCTTGATCCCCAGTATCGGGTGAGGAGGAGTCAGCCATTCAATTATTCTCTCTCATCATTGATGTTTCTATTTCTCTTTCTCTCTTCCTTCCTCTCTAAAATCAATAAAAATATATTTTTTAAAATTCTGAGCAGATTGGTAAAATGATAAGATTAACATATTAGAAGTTCATTCTTACACCTGTGGGTGGGGTTATTAGAGGTGAGGAGAGAAAGAGAATGAGGAGGATACAGACAAGAGAGGATGGGGCCTATTTTAGAGCAGTGTCCAAGGGGAAGGAATTCATCAGAATTGGATAATCTTAGGAAGTATAGTTGACTCGGCACCAGGACTGAAGGAATGTGGGCCCATTCTGTCCTGACAACTGAGTATGGATGGTAGGCCCCTTCACCAACTTGGGAGCTAAGACCATTGGACTTGACAAGTTTGAAGCACTTCTAAGATTTACAACTGTAGTTGTCCATACAAATCTGCAGCTAGGAAATAAGTTCTGAGTTAAATATATAGCTTGCAGGTAGATTCCCATTTTGATAATTCCCTACAGAGTAAGTCCTCCTTTCCTAGCATGGAATTCTCCCCCAAAAGATTACAAGATTCAGAAGTGTGATTTAAGTTCTATTAATCCTATACACTCGTGAGAGCCCATGCCAAAGAACTGCAGTTTCTCAAAAGAGGCAGGATATAGAGCAAGCATGTCAAATTCACGGCCCGAGGGCCACATGTGGCCCACAATAAATATTTTTTGTGGCCCAGCCAATATAATGGTATGTAAGAAACATTTTAATAAAAATTTCATAACTTAAGTTTTACAATACCCTGTTCCATATAATTATTAATAACAAACTACAACGTTCGCTAATGACTGATGACTATAATCGTGTTGCATTCATTTCCCTTACACACCTTACGTGCAGGCGCACCATTTCTCTCCGCTAATACTAACAGCGAATATTTTAGCAGCCGATTGCCACGTCTTTAGTCTTGGACTGACTTGTTTGGTGTGCGCAATAGGAAATATTTCACTTTCAGAGAACAAGAAAAATTGGTTTATTTGCATTACACTTATTAATTTGTGCAGTTATTCAGTGTCTGGTAAGTTAATGTTCAAGAAAAAATATTAATTTTTATTAAAATGTTCTATTATTTTATGTTAACGATTACTCATTTATTTCAGCCCTTTGTATTCAGCATGTCTCTACAAAATAAACCTATGTTTCTATGAAAATTGAAGCTTTTGTTTTTTTTGCGGCCCACATAAACTTAAACCTTGTTTATTTGGCCCGTGTTAGCCTTTGAGTTTGACATGCTTGATACAGAGGATCCATTCTACTGGTGTGGATCATAGTGAGGATAGATAGGGTCTGGAGTTGGAGTCAAAAGCTGGCAGCTCCCTGATCAAGGCAAGCTGGGTCCTGACATTATTTTTGGAAGCTCAGCCTATAGTCTGCTTGCTCAATCATCTCAGTTATTCTGCTTGGCCCAAATATGTAAACATGGAAGTTTTTGAGATAATGGAGATGATAGCTAATTTGGAATTAATCTGCTTGGCTTCTAGGTGGTAGTTGAGTCCCTGGGCATAGATAATATGGCCCAGGCAGAGAGTATAGGACAGAAGGAGAAATGGAAGGAGCATTTTAGTCAGGGAGAAAGTATCAGCTCAGGGCCACAGGCAGAGGTGTTTGCACTACTCTCGGTGGAACCAGGACTGAGTCAGTTGATTGAGAGCTGGGAGACATGATTGAACAGGCAGAAAGATGACAGACTGTGGTCATCTTAGTGATAGGCGTTGGCTCCTTTCGGAAAGAAAAGAACTATTGAAGGTTTGGCAAATGTGGTCATCTTGAAAATTAATTTAACAGTAGTAGGTAGGATAGATTGAGGCCCAACAAGGCGATCAACTGGAAGAGCACTGCAGTGTGACATGAGTGAGACAGATCTGGGGGCTCCCGGGTTGAGCGCAGAGCGTTAACCCTTCCAGCCCCCGAGGGCGACGGCGAGGGCGACAAGGAGGACAGGAGGGCGCAGGGGCCGGGGCCAGGA